GATGGAGACTAAGATACACCTGATTTGGGCCATAGTCTTCGCAGTTGCGTGCTATGCCCTAAGCATCCATAAGTATTGCTACTCGTGGCTTGAGTTTGATTTTCAATTCCTTCAGCTTAAGAAATGCTGAGCAGGTTTGGCCCTTTTTGATTTTCTGACTCCAGCTCTTTGCACATTTCATTATAATACCTCGCTTCATCATCCCATGTTGCCCTTTGAAATTTTCTGTTCAGCTCTTTAATTTCTGTATTTCTTCTTTAAGCTTTGGCTTCTCAGCTCTCTAATAAAATATTCACAGTCTCATCTGACATCCACCTTGGTCTTTTCTTTGTCTTCTGTTATCTCTTCTAGTCCTCCCTAAAACCTCCTATAGAAAGGAACAGTCTTTGACTGTCTTTCCACCATTTTGACCTCTGCACAGTCACTTGGCATCCCTCTCAGACCATGCACTAAAGGCCAGTTCTTTTCTTGGGACCAGGTTCTTTCTTTCTCTTTCAATTTCAACTCTTCCCACCCCACCCCCACCCCCCATCTAACATAATTCCCTGACCGGGAAGAACACCCAAATATAGGCTGGAACTTCCCCTCCACTTGTATGTGAGTAACATAGGGCCTACCTAGATTCTTTATTGGTCTGGCTTGTACCCTCTGGAATAGGCCAAAGATCTCTCTTTCTGCCTTACTCTTCTTTCCTCCTGACTTTCCTACTGGTCCCAAAAGCCGAAGGCCATTTGCCATTTGAATCCAACATTCAATACCAGCCTCGATTCTCAACAGCCTAAAACTATGCATCCCTGTGATTGAGGTAAGAGCCAAAGGTCACTCCCTGAGGCACCCAGGGACTTATCACTTCCCTGTCTGTCTGTTATCTCTCTGCCTCTCCTGACATCTGATTAAGAGGACACTTTCTGGATCTCAGTATGGAGGCCAGACCTGTCCTGGGGACAGTTCTTTGTTCTGCCACCTCTAAAACTTGCACACCTTCAGCATTATGCCTAATTTAAAACATTCTCAATGCTTTAACCTAAATTTGGCTCATTCAACCCATTTGTCCTTCAAAACCTAGGTACTGCAAATGGTCAGAAGTTTCCTATACTCAAACTTTCTTTACTTTCTACTCGAATGTTGCTGTGTTTATTCTACTCAGCCTTTGAGCTCCTCATAACTAACCTCACAGTTAAAATAAATATTAAAAACTAAACATCACCTTCTTCCTTTTCCAACCCTAACTCATAGATAAACTTCATCTCTTTCCTTTTCTGATCCTGTTTGGCAGATAATCCTCATATCATCCTCCCCCAATGCTCCAGACCAAACCATACAAACAAGTCAGCCAAATGCCTCTGCCCCACGCCTCCCTCCTCCCCCAAATCCGCCTCTTCACCTGATTCCAGTACATTACCCTCTATCAAAATTCAGCCAACCAGTCCCTAAAAGTATGTAAAATCTGTCCAGCAACAAAAGCCCCTTCCTGCAGTTTCTTGCCAAGACCTACCTATTTTTAATCTTCTCAAGATAAATTCTAAAACATAGTAAGGTCAAGAAAGTCTTAAACCATAAAACAGGAAGAAAAAATTACCACTTCTATTTTTCTAACTCACTCTGTATTAAAAATCTAACTCTTCCTCAATAAAAGATCATTTTAAAACTTAACCCCTTTGCTTTGCTACCTGTGTAGTTTTACCTGTTTCTTTTACACTCTTTGAAATTTCCTGTAAAAAGTACATGATAAGATTGTAAATAAATTTACTTTTGTTAATAATGTTGTTGTTATGTGCCATCGAGTCGTTTCCGACTCATAGCGACCCTATGCACAACAGCCCTAAACCCTGCTCTATCCTGTGCCAACCGCACCGCCTCTGACACACCCATCCCGATTACCCCAGTCACTGAATCAATCCATCTCATAGAGGGTCTTCCCCTCCTGTGCTGTCCCTCCACCCTCCCAAGCATGATGTCCCTCTCCAAGGACCTGTCCCTCCTGGCAGCATGTCCAAAGTATGTCAGACGAAGCCCCAGAATCCTTGCAAGGAGTAGCTTGGTTTAATCCTCTCCAAGATGAATCTGTTTGTTTTCCTGGCAGTCCATGGTACATTCAGTACCCTTCTCCAGCACCACAGCTCAAAAGCATCCACTCTCCTTCTGTCCTCCCTAGTCATTGTCCAACTCTCTGATGCATAACAAGCGATTGCAAATACCATGACCTGTATCAGGCGCACCTTAGTCTCCAGAGAGACACTGTTGCTCCTGAGTACCTTTGAGAGGTCCCTAACAGCAGACTTTCCCATCGCGATACGCTTTTTGATTTCCTGACTGCTGGTACCAAGAGTGTTGACTGTGGAGCCAAGCAAACTGAAGCTGTGAACCCTCTCAATCTCTTCGTCATCCATCCTGATGCTGCTAATTGGTCCAGTGGTGAGAATCTTTGTCTTCTTGACATTGAGCCTTAGTCCATACTGAAGGCTGCAGTCCTCGACCCTTCGCAGCAAGTGCATGAGGTCCTCCTCAGTTTCAGCAAGCAGGGTTGTGTCATCTGCATAACGCAGGTTGTTAATAGATCTTCCACCAATCTTGATGCCACAATTCTCCTCATAGACCCCAGCCTCTCAGATAATCTGCTCTGCATACATGTTGAAAAGGTATGGAGACAGCATGCATCCCTGGCGTACACCCTTCCCAATTTTGAACCATGCAGTGTTACCCTGCTCTGTTCTGACTACTGCCTCTTGGTCCAAGTATAGGTTTCGTATTAGCACAATTAAATGTTCTGGGATTCCCATTCTTCTCAGAGTCAGCCAGTTTGTTATGATCCACACAGTCAATAATAGTATATATAAAGTAAAATTTGTTAATAGTTAATGTTTCTTCTCTAGCGCAGTTCCGCTGTATAATGGTAAATACATTTGTTGTAGTTCTTAATGTTTTTTTTCTGTTAATAGCTAATTTGTTTCAGGCTGAGTTAGCAATTTTAGTGGCTAATAAGAGCTGCTATCTCTTCCATTTCACCCTAACTCTCCATAAATCAGCAAAAAAGGCCTGTTCATGTCTTGGGTTTAGGTTCTTTCTTTCTTTCTCTCTCTCACCTCTTTTTTTCTAACAATTGTTAAGTTTCCTCTAGTTGACTAGCCTCATATTAACCCTGTGAACAGTAGATCTGAACTCTGTCCTAACCTGCATCATCCCCATCATCCTTGACAAATTTGAGTCTATTGCTGCCAGTACTATATCAATCCATCCTGTGGAGGGTCTTCCTCTCCTTTGCTGACCCTTTACCTTTCCAAATATGATGATGTCCTTTTCTAGGGAATAGGCTTCCCTAACTATATGTCCAAGATATGTGAGATGAAGCTTCACTATCTTTGCCTCCAAGGAACATTCCAGCTGCACTTTCTCCAAGGCATATTTTCTCTTTTGGCAGTTCGTGGGATATTCAGCACTCTTCTTCAAGATCACAACTAAAATGCATCAGTTCATATCTAGTCATCCTTATTTATTTTCCAGCTCTCAAATACATAACAGATGATTTGAAATACTCTGGTTTGAATCAGGTACACCTTAGTCTATGAGATGACATTATTGTTCTTCAGGACTTTAGAGAGACCACTGACAGCCTTCCTAAAGCTATATGTCTCCTGACTGCTGGTACCAAGCGTATATTGAGTGTGGATCCAAGCAAGAAGAAATCATAGACAATTTCAGTCTTTTCTCCATCTATCATAAGGTTGCCTCTGGGTTCAGTGGTGAGGATTTTTGTTTTGTCAGTGTTGAGATGTAACCCATATTGAAGGCTGCAGTCCTTTATCATTTGTAGCACATACTTACAGTCCTAACTTTTACCAAGCAAGATAGTGCCATCTGCATAATGCAGGCTATTGAGAGCCTTCCTCTAAACCTGATGATACCACGTTTTTCTTTGACTAATTAAAAAAATAAATGTTCCTCTTATAAACATCCAAAGTATAAAACCAATTTCTTTGAGGCCAAACATGTCCCTGTGCCCTTATACCTACTTCGACTCTCACTGCTCTACTGCTGCATCCATTAATCCATTGCAGTGGCTACATAGAATTTACAGAACTATGCTTAAGATAATGGGGCTTATTAGGAAGAGAACAGGTTATAATTTAGGTTGAAAAGAGAATGCAATTATTCATTCAAGAGAATTTTTCAAGTACAAATTCTTTGACCTTCAGCTTGTCGACTTTAGTTCAGTGTTATATAAGTTCTCTTGATCCTGCCAATTACAGCATCTCCTCTGAAGTCCTCCAGCAAACTTAGGTGAGAACCCCAAACTCTCTGGGACAGTCCCAGTTCAGCTCTGTCTCACATTGGTCTTTGGTTCTCTACTGCTCTTACTCTCATCCGAGTCCTGAGTTACATAGGTATTTAGCATCTACTGCTGCTGAATCTGGTCATTTTAAACCTGGCAGTATGGTATGACTAATTTCATCATTAATAATCTTCACAGTCTATTTGCATATTCTAACCAAGACTGGTGGAGGAAAGTAATTGTGAACTTAAAACCTGTGTATTTGTCTTTTAAAGAAAGTGATGCTTCACTATTATAATGCTGAATGGGTAACATAGGCTTGTTCTTTTTTTGTTTCATGGGTTAAATTATCATATGTAGCTGATATAATTTAAAAGGAAAGAAAAAGAAGCACGATTTCTTCAAATTTATATCTTAGGATAAATATGAAGTGCATTACTTTTGATTGCCTTGGTATGGAAAGGTAGCATGTGACTGAGAAACATTTCATTTTGCTATATGCATAGGCTACTGTGAGTTGGAACCAAGTCTAGAGTAGCTAACAATAATATTTTATTTTGTTTAAGTAATTGTAAATCTATAGGCTCCATTTACATTGCCAGATGTTAGGTAAAATATTGGAATAATTTTAACAGCTGAAAGTCAGACAAATCTCGTGTGTGTGTATTTAGCATGTGTATGTGTCTAGATATAATTTGCTAATAGAAAGTCTTTCTTTTTTTTCCCTTAGGAAATTTTACCTGGATTGTTTTTAGGCCCGTATTCTTCTGCTATGAAAAGCAAGGTAAGAAATTTAGATTAATGAAGAGATTGTATTAACCAGCATTTTTGGCACATTTTTAATAGCCAGTAGTCTATTTTAGAAGAGCAAGCCTTCAAGTAACTGTGGTAACACTAGTTGTCATATTACAGTGCCCACCTCTGTCCTGATTTATTGACTCATTTGCAAATTACTAGTGAATTATTATGGATTTTTTTGGGAGTTGTTTTTCTTTGAAATCTGTGATTGAAAGATGTATCAAATGATTTCTATTTAGTAGCTTATTTACCCTCATATATTGTTTGTTGTAGTCAAGTCAACCAGTACCTCTATGAACAGCAGAATAGAACCCTGCATAAGCCGGTGCTATCCTTCCAGTCTGTTGTACTGCAGCCTTTCCCCCACTTTTTTTTTTTTAACTATGCTACTAAAAACTTTATTCAGGTGACTATTTTAAGTATTAATAGGGGAATATTGCCACAAAAGCCAGTGATAATAGAAAGAACATTAATAAAGAAGATTTGGTTAAAAATTAGGCAAAGCCTTTCAGGCTAGTTTGGAGGAAAATGGAAATTTCTGGTTAATGCATAATAAAATGTCTTTTATTCATCCCATTTTTTTTAATGACTCAGTTTATCTTATTAAGAGTCTTCCTTTTCTTCACTGTCCTTCTATATGTTACTTGTTTCCAAAGACCAGCCCTTCTTGAAAACATGCCCAAGTATTTGGAGACTTAAGTCTTATATTTCTATTATTGCGGTTGTTGTTGTCTACTGTCAAGTTGGAACTGACCTATAGCTGACGCTCCAGCAAGTTTTCAGAGACAGTAATTCATATGTAAGGAGGTTGTACATCCCTCTCCCACTGAGAAACTGGTAGATTATAACTGCATGCTTTTGTGATTGAAATGCAGTTTCTTACCACTAGGCCACCAGAGCTTCCTGATATTGCTCTTGTTGTTGTTGTTGTTATGTGCCATCGCATCGTTCGCGACTCATAGCGACCCTATGTACAACAGCCCTAAACCCTGCACTGTCCTGTGCCAATCGCATTGCCTCTGACACACCCATCCTGATTACCCCAGTCACTCAATCAACCCACCTCATAGAGGGGCTTCCCCTCCTCCGCTGTCCCTCCACCCTCCCAAGCATGATGTCCCTCTCCAAAGACCTGTCTCTCCTTGCAACATGTCCAAAGTATGTCAGATGAAGCCCCAGAATCCTTGCCTCCAAGGAGCAGCCTGGTTTAACCCTCTCTAAGATGAATCTGTTTGTTTTCTTGGCAGTCCATGGTACATTCAGTACTCTTCTCCAGCACCACAGCTTAAAGGCATCAATTCTCCTTCTATCCTCCCTAGTCATTGTCCAACTCTCTGATGTATAACAAGTGATTGCAAAAACCATGGCCTGTATCAGGCGCACCTTAGTCTCCAGAGAGACACCATTGCTCTTGAGTCCTTTAGAGAGCTCCCTAACAGCAGACTTTCCCATTGCAATTCGTTTTTTTATTTCCTGGCTGCTGGTGCCAAGAGTGTTGACTGTGGAGCCAAGCAAACTGATGCTGTGAACAATCTCAATCTCTTTGCCATCCATCCTGATGCTACTGATTGGTCCAGTGGTGAGAATCTTTGTCTTTTTGACATTGAGCCTCAGTCCATACTGAAGGCTGCAGTCCTTGACCCTCTGCAGTAAGTGCATGAGGTCCTCCTCAGTTTCAGCGAGCAGGGTTGTGTCATCTGCATAACTCAAATTGTTGATAGACATCAGTATTTGCTCATCATAGCTTCTGAACCATAAGAATTATAATTTAAGACCAAATAAAGAACGTTTTAATTATTTAGTCAGTCATTTCTGTGGAATTGGAACCAAGTTATAGCTGACTCTTCAGTGGATTTCAGTGGCTGTAAATTTCACAGAAGATTGCCCATATTTTTATCTTGGAACAGCTGGTTAGATTTGAACTACTTACCTTTGGGTTGGCAGCACAGCTACTTACCACTAGACCATCAGAGCTCTGACTGACTTTTAACATTAGGAAATTTAAACTAGGGAATGATTAGTTTATAAGTTGTATGCTTTAATTGTGGTTTATAGTAGACAAACTATACTGGAATGCTAGTTAATCTATGGATTTGAACCCTGTACTGTTTTGGGCTCCTAATCAAAAGGGTAGGTAGCTTGGATGCACTAGCTACTCTTCAGGGCAAAGATGGAAGTCTTCCATGTCTTAGTCTTCTCTAAAGAATAACAAATGTACAAACTTTCATCATAACTGCTCTGGAGTTTATATTTCAGTATGTCTTTTCGTAGCCATTATTTGACTTTGCTATGTAGATGAATGGGACTATGCGAATGGACCTTGTTAGCCTAACCATAAGGGGATTGGCTATCTCACCATTCTACTAGGAGATTGGCCAGTCTCAACAGTCTACAAAGGAATTAGCTAGTCTTGCCAATAAGCTGAACAGCTGTTGTTGTTAAGTGCCAGCGAGTTGTAGACGACTCAGAGACCCTATGAACCAAAGACATGAACGTTTGTATAACTTTCACAGTTTCTCCATGTTCATAGAATTTCCGGAGACAAGCGATTTTAGAAGTGTATGCCACTCCTGTTTCCAGGCTTGTTTTAATTGGGCAGCTCCACCAAACACTATCCACCATGGTACCATAATCGCATTTGACACATCAGTGCCACAGTGTGAAGAAAAATTAGACCTCCCTCACCATCATCTGGGAAGAAACCTCACCACCAGGAAAAGAGTAGTCATGGCAGAGCTAGAGATCTGACATGAGCTGGTACCTTATGGATGCTACCGTACAATTGTAACTGATTCTGAGAGCCTTTACCCACGTTTGTTAGACAACTGGGGGTAAAAAACTGTGGGTCTCAGGACTAAGACTGAGGCAAGTAGCCAATATTGACAGGACTGAGAACTTTCTAACAGTGGCCTAAAGTCTTGAGGCTCAAGGCTGAGGTGCCTGCGAGTACAGTCCAGCAACCATCCTGATTGTATACTGGTACTAATCTGGATTATCACCTTTTGACTTTGCCAACATGGTTCTGTTTTGTCTCTGAGCAATCATATTAAATTTTGAACCCAACAAAGCAGTAAAATTGGTGTTGAGATGAGTAGAAAGAGTATGGGGTTCATGTCTAACCTCATAGGAATTGGTTTTGTGTTATTGATACTGTTGATGCAGACAGTTCACCTTTGTGAAGTTGAGAAATAGCCATTTGCATATGCCCATATGCATAGTTCTTTTTACAACTACCATTTATTAAACATAGTACTGTTCTAGATACTTTGATAAATACTTATACTTTAAATCTTACAACAACACTGTGAATCGGTATTATTTTCACACAAGGAAACTGAGCTGTAGAACTCATGTTATTAGCCGTGGTAGAATTTAAATTGGGCTGTCATAACTCCAAAGCACAGGGTTTAACCCCTACATAGTACTATTTCCAAAATTATTTTCCTTTAAAGTTCCAATAAAATAAACCCTTTTAATTTTTGGAGGCTGTGTATTAATCTTGAATTATTGAAAAAGCTTACTGATCTTGAGATATATTGCTCATTTAATCCTTCATACATAAGACTCATTTTCGGTGGTGATTTCTCATGTTGAGTCCTGTCTGTTTATTTTTCTAATAGCAAATATAGTAGGATGTTTTTTACTTTAAAACGATTTTTTTCCTCACTTACCTCCTTCTTTTATAGCTATCTATACTACAGAAACATGGAATAACCCACGTAATATGCATCAGGCAAAATATCGAAGCAAACTTTATTAAACCAAACTTTGAACAATTATTTAGGTAAGAATTAAAAGTTTTTTAAGAAAATATCTATAGTTTATTTCAAGTTTAATTATTATATAAGTCTCTAAACGTATATATCTATTTTATAAAGATACAGTACATCTATTTTAAAATCTTTAAATAGGTAGGTGATTGGTACATGTAATGCAGAATGCAAAAGATTCAAGAGCCTGTATATTGAAATGAAGGGTTTTCCAATTCTTATCACCAAAATTTTTAATTCCCTTTCCAAAAGCCTTAGTGCTATCTGGTTGCTAAGTACTTTCAAGTAGATTACAACTCATAGTAACCCTGTGAACAATAAATTGAAATTGAAAAAAATAAATAAAAAACTTTGCCCAGTCCTGCGCAGTCCTCACAATTTCAGCTGTGCTCAAGTCCATTCTTATAGTCACTGTGTCAATCCATCTCATTGAGATCTTCCTCTTTTTCCCACAGTTTACCTCTAGCCAACCACTGATGTTGAGCTTTTCTTCTTATTGTCTCCCAACAGTTGTAGTTGCTTTGATTCCTGTACATTCTTTTAAGGGAACTGTAGTGACCCAGTCCATTAAGAGTTATGGTGCTAATGAAAAGGCAGAAACTATTCAAATCATCAGCAGCTTCTTGGGAGAAAGATAGGCAGTCTCTTTTAGTATAATTTCCAGTTTCAGAAACCGAGTGAAAGAGGGTTAGCTATGAGTTAATTTTGACTTGTTGGCAGTAATTGAGATATTTTTTTAGGTAAGGCCCATATGTATAGTCACCATTTATATTTTTTAAGAAAGATCTGTGCATTGAATAACCTTTGGCTATACAAAATTCTATCATGCAATCTCTAGCCTCATTTCTATCACCAGTGCCGTTTTCTAGCTACAGTTCATGCATTTGGACTACTTGTTCAGTCTAATTTAGAATTTGGTAGAATTCCTCAGTATTTTGGTTCTTATTCCCTTTAGTGTTGTTGTTATTGTTGTCATGTGTTGTCGAGTCTCATAGTGACCCTATGTATAAAAGCTCTGAAGCCTGCCATGTTCTCGCTGATTCCGACACACCTAAGCACTTTGCTCCAGTTACTGTATCTCTCCATCTCATCTGGGTTCTTCCTCTCTTGTGCTGCCCTTCCATTCCTTTTCCAGGGATTGTTGTTGAGTACTGTCTAGTTGAGACCGACCCATAGTGCACCATCTGTCAGATTTTCAGAGGCAGTTAATTGCACTGGAGCAGATTGCCCATTCTCCCACAGAGCAAGCTGGTGGCCTCAAACTGCGTACCTTCGAGATTGCAGCACAGCTTCTTGCCACATGGCCACCAGAACTTCCTCTTAAGGATTAGACATGTAAATTTAATTAGTCGTTAACAGGTCTTATATGAATACATATGAATATTATCCTATCACTGACATGATTTTAGAATAGATTTTGAAGTTTTCTTTTTTGTGATGCATTATATAGTGCCATCACTCCTTGTTATTCCTAGAATAATAGATGATATCATTTTGATACTCAAAATGGCTAATAGCAGACTCTTTTTAGCTCACAGATGCCAAAATACTGATCTCTGTGGTTTTTATTTCACTTTTGGCAATTTCCAATTTTCCCACCTTCATACTTTGTGCATTCCACGTTCTGATTATTATTATTATTTCTTATTTCTTTTTAGCTCACAGATGCCAGAATATTGATCTCTGTGGTTTTTACTTTTGGCAATTTCCAATTTTTCAACCTTCATATTTTGTGCATTCCACATTCTTTTTTTTTTTTTTTTCTTTTTAAAAGGTTTCTTTTATTTTATTACATTTTAATGAAAGTTTACAGAGACTTTGGATTTCCATGCATACATTGTTGCACGCTACCCACCCTTCCCTCCAGACATTCCACATTCTGATTATTATTATTATTTCTTATTTTTAATTGTGTCACATCACATCAGTAAATTGAGTTCTTTTATTTTTCTTGTTCTTATTGTTATGTGCCATTGAGTCATCTGCGACTAATAGTTTTAAACTGTGCTGTATCCTGAGCCAGTCTCACTGACTCAAACATACCTACCAATTACCCCAGTTACTATGTCAATCCATCTCATCAGGATCTTTCTGTCCTGCACTGTCCCTCTACCCTTCTAAACATGATGTTATTCTCTAAGGGCTGATCCATCCTGGCAACATACACAAAGTATGTGAGGTGGAGCTTCAAAATCCTTGCCTTCCCCCTCCCCAAGACCTGTTCTTAGCAGTCCATTATAGTCAGTACTCTTCTCCAGCTCCACAACTCAAAGGCATTGATTCTTCTTCTGTCTTCCTTAGTCATTGTCCAGCTTTCTGATGCATAGAAAGGAATTGCAAAGACCATGGTCTGATTCAGGTTCACCTTAGTCTTTAGACTGACACCATTGCTCTTTAGCACTTTGGAGATGTCTATGACTGCAGACTTCCCTGATGCAGTGTATCTTCTGATTTTCTGATTCCTGGTGCCAAGAGTGTTAATTGTAGAGCCAAGCAAACTGACATGGTTAAGAACTTCAATCTCTTCTCCTTCATAGTCCTTGACTTTTTGCATCAGACACTTCAGGTCTTTCTCAGTTTCAGCAAGCAAGGCTGTGTTATCTGCATAAGGCATGTTGTTGATGAGTCCAGTCTTGCTCTTCCTCATGAAGTCAAACCTCCCAAATGATCTGTTCTGCATACAGATTGATATGATATAGAGACAAGATGCATCCCAGATGTACTTCTTTCCTGATTTTGAACCATGCAGTGTTTTCTTGATCTCCTCTGAGTACTCCTTCCTCCGTATTTATTCCCATACAAATAAATAAAGGTTAAAAAAAAAAAAGAACACCCCAAAAACCAAATAAATAAAGGTGACCTGACAGAGTGGAAATTATTGAACAATATCACTAATACACATGTGAGCAAAATCCTGCTGAAGATTATCCAAAAACGACTGGTAGTTCATCGATAGAGAACTACCAGAAATACAAAACGGATGGATCTTGTGTGAAGGCAGAGAGTACCAGAAAAATGTCTTACCTGTGTTTCATTGACTATGCAAAGGCATTTCACTGTGTGGATCACAAAAAAATGGTGGCTAATTTTAAGAAGAATGAAATCCCAGAATACTTGATTGTGTTTATACGAAGCCTCTAGGTTTAAGAAGAGTGAAATCTCAGAACACTTGATTGTGTCTATACGAAACCTCTTGGGTCTTTTATTAGCAGAAAAGTATATCACATCATCATTAAGGCAGACACTACATTGAGAAGACAGTAAATGTTTTCTAAAGTTGAAAATTCTAGGACAGATGGTTGCTTTGCAAATAATGAGTATGTAATCCTTCATTATGAGCTCTTTTTGTCTTTTTATTTCTGAGTGTACTTTGATCCAGAGGTAAATTTTTTATATAATTTTCTGTTTTCATGGTTTCCAAGAAATTTGGAAAGTTAATTTTATATATACACACACGAGTTGTTGGTAGTTTTTTGTTTTTCAGTGTTTCAAATACTGTGTTTACAGCAAAGTAATTCTGTTTTCAGATACTTAGTCTTGGATATTGCAGATAATCCAGTAGAAAATATAATACGGTTTTTCCCAATGGTAAGTATTAATATTTTAATTTAATTTATTATTTGTCCCTCTAACTGTGGCTTATAAAGCATAAGGTTAATTTTGAATTAATATATACAAATGAGATTTTAACTCCTGTATAATTTTTAAACTTCTAATAATTACATTTGTAGCATTTTAGAAATTCATGCGTTAAGTTCACTTTTAGTCACATAAATTAGCAGGAAATGCCTTGATTATTTTCAGTGTATTTTATTTCTTTGTGTGTATGTTTTATACTTAGGTTGAACCATATGTTTTATTATAATCTATTGTCTTTTTCCTTTAGACTAAAGAGTTTATTGATGGGAGCTTACAAAGTGGAGGTAAATAATATTTCCTTTACTTAGCTGATAATTTAAGGAGCCCTTATGGATGTAGTATGTTACGTGTTGGCTGAAAGGTCAGTAGTTCTAACCCATCAGCCAGTCTGTGGGAGAAAGACACAGTCTCCTTCCATAAAATTTTATAGCCTTAGAAATGAGAAGGGTTGTCTTGATTTGGAATCCCCAGGAGGCTCTGGTGGCTTTGTCTACAGAGATTTGCTGCTAATTCAAAAGCTGAGCCTTTCTGGTGGTTGGAATGCACTGGCAGCTCCTCTGGAGAAAGAGGGCAATCTCTTCTCAAGAGATCAGCTTCAGAAACCCAAAGGTTTCAGTTTATTTTCAGTAATTTTTTTTTTTTAAGTACAGTATATGGATGTTGTTAAAACTATATAATAGGACTCAACTGGGAAAATAACCTCATTTCTATTGAGTGGGAACCAACTCAGAGCTGGAACATTCCCATCTCTGCTCCTGACTTGGGTTTCTGAGGCTATAATAACCCTGAGAGAAGATGGTCCATCTTTATTCTGAGGAGCCGCTGGTGGGTTTGAACCACCAGAATGAGAAGCTTTTGGCCTCACATTGCAACTTCTTATAGACAGTAGAGCTCCCTATATATAATGTTGTTGTTGTTGTATACTGTTGAGTCGGAGCTGACCCATAGTTGACCCTCTGGTGGGTTTTCAGAATCAATTAATGGCACTGGAGGAGATTGCCCATCCTCCCACGGAGCAGCTGGTAGCCTTAAACTGTGAGCCTTCAGGATTGCAGTGCAGCTTCTTGCCACTAGGGTTTATATTTTCCCACTATTCCTGCTGTTTTATTTGTACAGGATTCCTTCTTAAACATCCTGTGGAGCTGTTTTCAAATAGTTTCCGGTTTAAAATATCTTTAATAGTCTTGTGTTCTCTACATTACAAGTAAAATAAATAAATTTGAAAACAGTAAAATAAGATTTGAAAATCACTAAATAACAACATGCTAAATTGTTATTTTAGCTATGAATGATGTATTTTCCTGTCATACTATTTCTGTCTTTTAGGAAAAGTTCTTGTCCATGGAAATGCAGGAATCTCTAGAAGGTAGGACATTAGTGATAATCGTTCTCTCTCTAGAATTTAAATAATGAGTTGTGTTTTGCTTTATTGTTTTGGGGCTGGGTTTTTTTTTTCCTCTCTAAATTTTTTTTCCCCCTTCTTCAGTGCTGCCTTTGTTATTGCATACATTATGGAAACATTTGGAATGAAGTACAGGTAAGTCGGTACTCTGAAATATAGTAAAAATTTAAATTCTTCTTAAAATGAAGCAATCGTGATGATCTAGGAAATAATTTCCTGTGATCATGTCTTCTAGGCATGTTTAAGCAAATGCTAATATCACAGTCTCTGAATCCTTGTGATTTACCTTTTATAGATTTTCTGGGCTAATAATGTTGTTGTTTGATTGGACTAGTGCTGACTTGTTATTTTAAGAAAAAGTAACATTGATGGAATATTACTTGCTTACAGACTTAGTTATTATGTTTCCCTGTACTAGTATTTGAGTGGAAAATTAAGCAGTCTCTAACTCCTATTTGCTTCATTGTACTTTTTGTTTCCAGACCTGTATTTTGCAAACATACCTTGTTTTAAAATACAAGAAATAATAACAAAAGGCTCTTGAGCTTCTCCAAAACAAAACCCTGCTAGGAATACAGTATTTCTTTTCTCAGTACAAGTGAGAAATCTTGTAGTAGTCTCGCCCCTCTCTTAGTCCATTCTAAACTGCTCCATTTCTAAATCCTGTCTTTCAAATCTGTCTTCCATTTCACCATTCTAATGCCCTAACCCAAGGTTCTGTCTTATCTCCATTTAGTAGTTTCCTTTCCAGTTTTTTTTGTTTGTTTTCCACATTAAAGATCAAAGTATTATATCAGATTATAGTATATGCCTAATTTCGTCCATCGTTTTGATCTGGGACTAGATCCCACTGGGTTATGGTAGACTTAATATGTTGCCACGTTATATTTGCTTATTTTTTTTTTAATCTGACCATATAATTACCTGGCCTCTAAAATATCTCAAATGTTTCTAATCCCTAATAATTTTGAAATGTTGCATGAAATTAGCCATCTTTGCTTCTTTGGTCTTTATAACTTTCTCACCATCACTCCTTCCACTTGACCTGGTGTATCTGTATTCAGCATTGAATCTATATGCCTAACACATAGTTGACATTCAAATACTTGTTTGTTTGGCATATCTTATATTTATGATAAAAAGTATACTTTTAAATGGATGTTCTTAAAGGCATATTATTTGAAGACAAATATTTGATTACTTAATTGGTGGGGAAGATGTAAAGTGTGTTGGTGGACTTTTTATATGTTTTTTTTTATTTGGTATTTTGTTGGTAATAGTATTAATGAAAATCTATTACTCTGGTAGTAATGATTATAGGTACTTTCATCTCAAAGTAATGCAAAGTAAATATACTTCTGATAAAGAGAAGAACTATGTTACATGTCTGTGCTATTGATGTTTTTCCCACAGTAGCTCACTTCCCCTTTGTATTACAAGGCATATAATTATGATTTCTTATTTTAGGTAAAGTCCTATTTTAAATCAATTTTGAAAGAATAGAAATTTAAAACCTAATGTCATTTCTTTCATTTTTATTTTGCTTTTTTCAGAGATGCATTTGCTTATGTTCAGGAAAGAAGATTTTGTATTAATCCTAATGCTGGATTTGTCCATCAACTTCAGGTGACTGCTCCTTGCTATAACAGTCATAAAATTAGAAGGGTTAAAAATAAAATTTCCATGTAATTTACATATAGTATATACTTTGCTTTACTTAAAATTGCCATATTCTGACTCATTTGACTCTGCTCAAGTTTAAACTCTTGTTTTATATTTTCTAAAAATTATAATTTGAGTGGAAGTTTACAAAGTATGTTGTTTTTGCCTTATATGCCTAATATTGTTCATCCTTTTGATCTGGGACTAGATCCCACTTGGTTATCATAGACTATGCACTTAATATGTTGCTACATTATATTTGCTGTTATTTTTAAGTAATAAATATCTTTTATTAGTTATATATATATTATTAGCTGTATATATAATATGTATAATAAATTATATATATTTTTTTAGTTGTAGATGTAATTCATCTAATACGTATCTTAGAATTTTAAAGTAGCTTATATAGGTGATTTTAGTTTGTAGTAGTTTATCATACAGTAGATTGGGGTATTTTTGTTTTTATGTATATCATACTCTTTCTGTTTTTAAAATTCAGCTTTCTATTTCACTGTGCTGTGGGACAGTTTGAGTTAGAGTTATCTTTTTCTTGATGTTTTGGTGTATGTTGTTATTGTTGTTAGGTTCCATCAAATCAATTGTTACTCATAGAGAGACTTTGAGCAACAGATCTGAACCTTGCCCTATCCTGCAACATCCTCACGATCTCTGCCATGCTGTGGTAGTCACTGTGTTTACCGTGAGTGAGGGACTTCTCTCTTACTGACCCTGCTCTTTTCCCAGCATAATGTCTTTGTCCATGGACTGACGCCTTCTGAGAATACGCTCAAAAGAGATGAGGTATTTTCACCAAGTTTCACCATCCTAGCCTTTAATAAACACCTGGTGCACAGCTAGGAGCTGATGACATTGATGAATGCAACCTTCTAAAGATTAAGTCCCTGTGTGCATCAAACATTTTTTTTCAGCAGTGTGAAAATAAAACCAACTGACTGGGAAAGAAGTTTGGCAAGGACATCTCAGACAAGAGTCTTATAATGAAAATTTATTTACCGAATACTACAGAGCCTCCACAAGAAAAAGACTACTTGGGGAGCTCTGGTGGCCTAGTGGTAAGAAGCTGCAACTACAATCCCAGAGGCGCACGGTTCGAATCCACCAGATGCTCTGCCGGGGAAGGAGGGACAATCTCCTCCTGTACCAGTCAGATTTGATTTGACGGTACACTCACACAAAAATAATAAAATAAAAAAAATTTTTTAAAAAAGAAAAAGACTGCTAACCCAATTACAAAACGGGCAAAAGATATGAAAAGACTTTTCACAGAGGAAGACATTCGGATAGTCAACAGACTCATGAAGTGCTCAAAATCATTGGCAGTAAGAGAGATGCAAATCAAAACCACAGTAAGATAGCATCTCAAAACAATTACCTTGGCAAAGTTTAATGGGACAGCAAGCAATGCTTGGAGAGGCTGTAGAGAGTATGTTGTTGTTGTTGTTGTTATGTGCTGTCGTTGCTTGCGACTCATAGTGACCCTATGTACAACAGCCCTAAACTCTGCTCTGTCTTGTGCCAGTCACACTATCTCTGACACTCCCATCCCGACTACCCCAGTCACCGAATCAATCCACCTCATTAGCGGGCCTTCCCCTCCTGCACGGTCCCTCCACCCTCCCCAGCATGATGTCCTTCTCCAAGGACCGGTCTCTTCTTACAACATGTCCAAAGTATGTTAGACAGAGCCTCAGAATCCTTGCTTCCAAAGAGCCACCCGGTTTAACCCTTTCCAGGATGAATCTGTTTGTTTCCCTAGCAGTCCATACTCTTCTCCAGCACCACAGCTCAAAGGCATCAATTCTCCTTCTATCCTCGGTCATTGTCCAACTCTCTGATGCATAACAAGTGATTGCAAAGACCATGGCCTGTATCAGACGCACCTTCGTCTCCAGAGAGACACCATTGCTCTTCAGTACTTTGGAGAGGTCCCTAACAGCAGACTTTCCCATGGCAATGCGCCTTTTAATTTCCTGGCTACTGGTGCCATGAGTGTTGGCTGTGGAGCCGAGCAAACTAAAGCTGTGAACAATCTCAATCTCTTCGCCATCCATCCTGATGCTGCCAATTGGCCCAGTGGTGAGAATCTTTGTCTTCTTGACATTGAGCCTCAATCCATATTGGAGGCTACAGAGAGTATGAGTATGGATAAATATTCTCCACTTACCTACAGAGTTCTCAAAGGCCTATTAGAACAGGCTAGCCAGTCTTCCTTCTTAATCTGTCTTAGTATGGAAGCTCTGCTGAAATCAGTCTACCATGATTGGCTCTGCTGGTATTGAAATACTGATGGCATAACTTGTAACTTCATAATAACACAAGCCACAACAGTGTGGCAAACACTGATTAGTACTGGTATATGTTGTTGAGAACCACTGAGTTGGAACCAACTCATAGCTGACTCTCCAGTGGGTTTTTAGAGGCAGTAAATTGCACAGGAGGAGACTGCCCACATTTATCCCACAAGCAGCCGGTGTATTCACACCATGTGCCTTTGGGTTGGCAATGCAATTCCTTACTACTAATCCACTAGAGCTCCCTGATAGTATATAGTATTTGCATCCTTTAAATTTGATATTTTATTCAAGAATCTGTTAAGTCATTTTGTTGAGGTGCTAGTGCTTGGTTGATTGGTCTCTGATATCCTGATGCTCTTCCATCATTTTGGATGGTTTTGCAATCTGCTAATATCATTTAAGGAGCTCTGGTGGCATAGTCCATAAGGATTTGCACTGATAACCCAAACGCAGCTCCGAGAGAGAAAAATGGGCACTCTCCTTTCAAACAGTTTACAGATTCCCAAAGACCTGCTGGAGGATCAGCTATGAGGAGATTCCAACTAAACAGTAATGAGTAAGGTCTTGTAAGGAGAAATAAATGTGAGTTTTCAAAAATGGCTTGAGAAAGCAAAGACCAGGAATAGTTGGAGGATAGGCCTTAGTGATACACTGAGGAAAGCATTGTAGGTAGAGGGAATAACATGTCTTGAGGTGGGAATCTTTTCTGTTGTCTAGGAATTGTAAATATTTCAGTGTGACTGGAACAGAGTAAGCAAATGAGATGGTAGGGAATGAGGTAGGTCAAATGTTTAGATCCATGTTGGCCATTTTATGTGAAACTTTGTGAAACATTACTCTTATAACAGAATCATTCTGGCTACTATATTGAGTGTAAAAAACTGTAGAGTGAATTTAGGGCAAAGACAGAAGCATGTAGTCTTATTAGGATGCCATTGCCGTATCCAGTTCCGAGAAAAGTAATTTATTACCTCCAACCAAGTGGTAGGAGGGAGGGTGGAGGTTCTAGTGAGAAGATAACAGATTCTAGATTCACTTCAAGATGTAGGTAATAGGCTTTGCTTATAAATTGTATGTGGATTCAGAAACAGACGCTAGAATGACTTTAAACCTTCTAACCTGAAGATGGTCGTTGCCACTGACCAGTAATGAGGGAGGAGAAGGGAGAAAGGGGATATTAATTTTTCAGGATTTTGTTGTTGTTGTCCAAGATGGGAGGGAGCATAACATGTGTCCATGCTGAAAGAGAAAGGGAGCATTAATCCTGCCTGAGAATTGTAAGGTTCACTTAGTTGTCATAGTTAATATGTCATTATCTGTTGTCTTTTTTCTTCCATGAAATTATTTTTCCTTTGGACTTAATTCAGAGAAGTCATATTGGCTTAAATTTCATGGAAAATTCTAATTTTTTTTTACTAGTTACATTGTATAATGGTGGTGTGTTCTTCATATGCCTTTTGGTTATAAGGTTGTACTCATTGCTTCTCCCCCCCCCTCCCCTTATGGCATCTTTATAGAAGGTCTACAGAACTCAAACCACACCCATTGCCAGGGAGTCTGTTTCAACTGTTAGCAATCAGTAGAACAGAGTTGGATTTCCAAGGCTGTCATCTTTACCATGTGAAATTAATTGTGGATTTGAAACTAGCAATTTAGTGCTTAACCACTGCATCACCAGGGCTTCTAATAACATGTATACAGATTCTTTTTTTAAATTATTGTTGTTTAACTTTTAGTTTGGTTTATATGTCTTAGATCAGCTGTTTGTCCAAAAGTTTGTGAGAAAGAGGCCAGGAGAATGGTTGTGGAAGGTAGACAGTTTGAATTTTCCCAGTTGTTTTAGATGACTTTAATATGCCGTGCCTCTTCCCAAAGCCCACTCATACTTCCTATTTTATCCATGCCACACAAGGCTTATTGACTTTATCCAGCTGGAAGCACAGGATTATTTTAAAAGACTTTAGTGTGTGCGCGCGCGCGCGCGTGCGCGCACACACACACACACACACTTGTATTTATTAAATACTTTATAGAGAGCCTACTCCTAACCCAAAGACCAGTCTCTGGTGGTTTGAATCCACTAGTTGGGTCCGAGGAGGAACCATGGGCAATCTCCTCCCATGTAGTTTCAAAACTCTGTAAGATCAGCTGTGTTGATTCCAACTCAACAATGAGTTAAATACTTTTTATTGATATATTAATTTGATTTTTGAAGTATTTTACAGCTGTATACACTGAAAGATTTGTTTGCATCATATCTTAAAAATTCCTTCTCTATGTGCTTCTGCTTCAAAATCAACTGAGACCTGAACCTCTAGTAGGTATCCAGGCAGAGGCAGTAAATTGCATGGGAGGAGTTTTTTCTTTATTCTTGTTGTGTGCTATGAAGTCAACTACGAACTCGTAGTGACCCTGTAAATACTGGATCTCTACCCTCTCGTGCACCATCCTCATCATCTCTGGTATCCTTGAGCCCATTGCTGTAGTCCTTGTGTCTGTCCATCTTGTCGAAGATCTTCCTCTTTGCTGACTCTGTACCTTCCCAAAGAGGATTTTTCCCAAGGACTGGACCTTCCTAACAACATGCTTAATGTATGAGAGATGAAGTTTCACCATCCTTGCCTCCATGGAGCACCCTGGTTTTACATTCTTCAAGACATATTTGTTTATTCCTTTGCTGGTGGTTGTGTACAGTCAAGTTGGAACCAACCCAAAGCTGACCCTCCCATGGGTTTTCAGAGGCAGTAAACCACACGGGAGGAGATTGCCTATCTTTGTTCTGCAGATGAGTTGGTGGATTTGAACTGGGTACCTTTGTCTTGGTAGTGTGATTGCTTACACTAAGCCACCAGAGCTCCCTATTTCTTTGGTACTATATGGGATATTCAGTACTCTGCTCCAGCATGAATCAAAGGCATTGATTCTTCTTCTATCATCCTTAGTTATTGTCCAACTTTCAGGTATATAGCAAATAATTGAAAAGACCATGAGTTGGACCAGGTGGACCTTCACCTTCAAGTGTGACGTTGTTACACATTAGCACTTTGGAGAAGCCTTGAAAGAAGATTTCCCAGTGCAACACATCTTTTTGGTATCTTGACTGCTGGTACCAATGGTAATGGTTGTGGGTCCAAGTATGATGAAATTAACAATTTCAGTCTTTTCTCCGTCTTTCGTAATGTTAACTATTGGCCCAGTGGTGAGGATTTTTGTTGATGTTAAGATTATTTTATTCTTATTGAACTTTTATCTCATTTTTTTCAACCATTTTATGATATTCCTAGTACAGGGTATTTTTTAGTAAGTAAGTCAGAAATCCTACAGCTAACACTTCAGTGGCTGAGACCCCATTCTAATTGGCAATGGAGTCTCTGACACCTTAGTACAAGTTATTAGTCTAATTTGATTTATAGTCACCAGTTGTTGTTGACAAGTTCCGCGAGTCGCAAGAGACTCATAGCGACCCTATGAATGAAAGTCCTGGACACCTCTTGTATAACTTTCATCCTTTCTCGAGGTTCATAGGGTTTCCAGAGGCAAGCTGTTGTGGAAGTGGATGCCACTCCTGCTTCCAAGCTTGTTTTAATCGGGGAGCTCCACCAAACACTGTCCACCATGGGTAATCATTATCACATTTGATGTGTCAGTGTCACAGTGTTGTTTCACAGCAACCGTGAGTTACCTCTGTACAGCAAGTGGATGTACCAAGGTTACAGGACCTAGAAGAATGTTTCACCAAAAATAATCAAAGGCAGGCCTGACGGCCGCGGAGTAGAATCACCCACCTTTGGCTTGGGAGCATGGCTTTCTGTCCGCTAGGCCAACTGCTCTCTCTCACTCTCTTTCTTTCTCTCTCTAGCTCCTGTTGGTGGTGGTGGATAGTCACCAGTAGTTGGAAAACTACATAAATTAAACTTTTAAGCCTGCATTTCTCTTATAATAATACAGTAACACATTTTCATTGTAGCCTAAGATTAATATTGTACAAGTTAATCATTGTTTTGAATATCCATAAATTTAATTGTATATTTCAATGTAAATGAACTCTTTTTTAGGAATATGAAGCCATCTACTTAGCAAAATTAACAATACAGATGATGTCACCCCTACAGATAGAAAGATCATTATCTGTTCATTCTGGTACAACAGGTAAGGAAATTTTTTTTTCTTTTCTTTTTGGAGAAAATTGTGGGACAAAGAGGGTGATGTGAATGGTGCTATGATTCTTTTGCTTGCTACAAAATACACTGGATAGTTTAGGTTGTTAACAGTTACAGCTTGCTCAGATCCACAATCAACACTCATAACACCAGCAGTCAGGAAATCAAAAGGCGAATTTTATTAGGTAAATCTGTCAGGGACCTTTCCAGAGTACTAAAAAGCAACGATGTCAGTCTAGAGACTAAGGTATGCCTGATCCAGTCCATGGTCTTTGTAATTACTTGCTACGTATCAGAGAGCTGGATAATGACTAAGGATGATAGAAAAATTGATGCTTTTGACTTGTGGTACTGGAGAACAGTCTTGAACATACTGTGGATTGCCAAGAAACCAAATAGGTCCATCTTAGAGAGAGTGAAACCAAGTTTCTCCTTGGAGTCTAGGACTTTGAAGCTCCATCTTACATGCTTTGGGCATGTGGCCAGGAGGGACTAGTCCTTGGAGAAGGACATCTTGCTTGGAAGGGTGGAGAGACAACTCAGGGGAGAAAGACCCCAGATAAGATGGATTGATATGTAACTAGGACAATGGGGGTAGGTGTGTCAGAGTCAATGATAACTGGCTCCAGACAGGGCAGGCTTCAGTGCTATTGTACACAGGGTTGCTATGAGTCACAGGCAACTTGATGACACATAATAACAACATCATCAGTCTATCTTAAAGAAGAAAGAAAAGACCAAACTAAAAGCCAACCAACCAAATTGCTATTGAGTCAGTTCTTGCTCACAGTAGTCCTATAGGATAGACAAGAACAACCTCATAGAGTTCAAACCTGCAAATTTTTTGAGTGAAAGTTTATAAAGCATGTTGGTTTTCCATGCAATCATTCATATACATTTTGTTTTAGAACATTAATTATCATTGGTTAATGTGTCTAATCAATCCCTCATTATGTATTGTCTTTCTCTTCACCCAACTTAACTATTTCTTAATTTTCACTCCTTCCTTTCCCATCTGTGTTAACTCCAAAATTGAGTCTATGTGTATAAACCTTTCATATTTGTCCTTTTGTAACTGACTTAGTCACTCGGCATAATTTGTTGTAGATTTATCCATGTTTTGCAGTATTTCCTGATTTCTTTATTGTATTTAAGTGTTGCATAATGCCCTATTGTGTGAATGTACCATAGTTTATCTGTTTGTCTGTTTATGGACACTTGGGTTGTTTCCAGCTCTCTTCCGTTTTAAATAATGCTACAGTAAACATGAGTGTGTGTATGTCAATTTGTGTTAAAACTCTTCATTTCTTTAGGATATATACCTAATCATGGGGTTGTTGAATCAAATGGCATTTCTATTCCTAACTTTCTATGGAAGCACCAAGCTAGTTTCTGCAGTAGTTGCACCATTTTAATATGTACAACACTTCTAATCTCTCCGCATCATCAGCAGCATTTTATTGTTTGATAGTTTATTGAACTTTGCAACTCATTTGTTTTGATTTTCATCTCTTTAAAACCAGTTCCCTGGTAGCATGGCCTATAGGGAATTGTGCTGTTAACTGAAAAGTGGTTTGAGTCCACTAGCAGCTTTTTAGGTGAAAGGTGGGCGTCTCCTCTTATGCAGTTTATAATCAAATCATGAGTTGGTTCTGACTTGATGGCAATGAGTTTTTTAATTCCAAAGCTGTAAATCTTTACAGGAACAAACAGTCTGTGTTGGGCATTTCAGTCCTAACAGGTTCTGAGGAATCCTGTTTCTAGGCTGGCTAAGTGTTGACCTGCTAACTGTCAGGTTGGTGGTTTGAATTTCCTAGCCATTCTGCTCCATAAAGATTGAAAGCTGTGGAAACCCTGTGTGGCAGATGTGCTCTGTCCTATAGGATAACTGTGAGTTGGAGTTGGCTCAGCAGTAATGCATCCAAGTGTTTTTACTGGGGGAGGAGAAGCTGTTTAGAAAAGTTAAGTAAAAATGAACCTCTTTATTTGCTGTATGCATCCCATTCTCCCAATTTAAATCTTCTTGCCTGATACTCATAGCAGCATCTGTGAGAGCAAAAGGGAAATGAAAGCAGCATGAAAATATGTAGATACAAAATTAATTGTTTAAATTTTTTTTTAAATTGTGATTTTAACAAAAGTTTACAGAAAGGTTGGAGTTACATTCATTTACTGTTGCATCTTTTCCTCCCTCCTCTTTCCTTCCCCTTCCCCCAGTTTGCATTTGCTTAAATTTTATGTCATAGCTTATGCTTATGGGATGGAAAGTATAACATTGTGTGTACTTGGATCTACCAACTAGTTATATACTTCTGTCTTCTGAGAATTTAATTTCCGAACAGTTTTAAAAACTAATTACTATATGCCGTAATTGAGAATCTTGGCAGCAGTATGGTTCAGTGCTCAGCTATTAACCAGCAGTTTGGCAATTCAGCCAACACACAGCAGGTCCCAAGAGAGTAGGTCCTTAGTAATTTGCACCCAAAGAAGTTATAGTCTGGAAAATAACTGTAGGGCAGTTATACCATCAAATACTGTTATTGTGAGTAGACAGATGGCAGCCAAAAACAACATTATGCCCTCCTTAACTCCCAGGAAGAAAAAATTGATAATTAAAGTTTGACAAAAATTTCTGGAGTTTATACATAGTTACTGTAAGAGTAAAATTTTTGTTAGTTTGACATTCATTTAATGTTACATTCATGTACTCCTTTTAGGCAGTTTGAAGAGAATGCATGAAGAGGAGGAGGAGTTTGGAAACATGCAAGTGGCAACTGCACAGAATGGCTGACTCAAAACCAACATTCTAAAAGATGCAAATTTCTGTTGAAAAGGAGAAAATACTAAAGAAAAAAAAATAATGTGAAATGATAAAAACACAAGTGGTTGCTTTTCAGTTATATGTTGCTTCCAAACATGTTTCTCTAACTTGTTGAGCAACATTCTAAGAAGATTTTGGACTTCTGAAATAGATGGCACTGATGATTTAGTCTTTTTTTTTTTTAAAAAAAAAAAACCTTTACAATTTTATTATAAACCAAGAATTTTGGACTTGTAAAGAGGTATTATTGCAATAATGCACTTTTCATACTTGAAATTTATTTGTATGATATAGTTATTACTTTAAAGAAATGCAAGTTAGGGGGGATTTGTTTATAAAATTTGGGTAATTTATAACAAGAATTTACTAAAGTTTGCTAAAATTCATTTTGTGTTCTATACCATTTTAAAAATAATTTTTGCAGTTCAATTTTATGATGGAGCATCTTGCAGAAACATTAAAATGTAGGAATTTGCTACATTTCTTGGTATCACTCAAGACCTTAATTACTTTCTTTTTTAAATATTTTGATCCTTTATTAACAATCATGACAATAGCTAACTTCTTTTACCTTAATATCCAATTATTGCGTCCTTTCTTATAATCTATTTCTTTTAAAAAAATAATGAACAAAAAATATTTTCTAGTACCAGATGCTCTCCCCACTCTCCTAAAAAGGGAATGTTTTATGAGACTTTCTATTCATTTATTTTGGTAAAAACCAAATATTCTATATGTTCTTTTCAAATCACCTAGTCTGTTTTTCTTTGTCCAAAGTGGTTCTAGATAGATAGCAATGTAGTACTATTGTTTTATTTTCCTTAAATGAAGCCCAGAAAAGTGCCTTGCATCATTTAAAAATTGTAAGTAAATCCAAGGAGCTCCCAATTAATAGGTAGAATAGTAGAAATTCTTAATGTTTTTCTGTAATTTCTTTTTAAAAAAAACTATATATTAAACCTACAGTGTGAGGCTTGAAAACCTCAGCAAATTATTGGGAATATGAACTGTTTACTTCTGTTTATTTTAAGTTGTCTTAATGATTCTGTGAGGTTGCTCAGACAAAATTTTCTCTTTAAAAGATGCATTTGTTGGGAAAGGTGATTTGTAGGATACTTCAACGTGTTTTAAATTAGCTTTATAATCAGTTCTTTAATCTTTCCCAGAGTCCCCCATAATTTGCATTAGCAAAGTCACTTTATGGATCCTTGGTTTTCCATGTTTTTATTTATATGTATAAAAATTGTTCTAAAAAAAACACTTTTCTATTTAAGTAATTGACATGAGGGAGGAGAGGAGTGTTTTTAACTCTTTGTAGTTTATGACTTTAGGGTAGCACACAAAAAGCTCCTTTGTATCTCACTTCTTCTTAGTCCTCTCTTGAGGTGCTTTACTAATGGAATGATTTCCATACACTCTTTTGTTACCAACAGGTGGTAACCTATTAACAACCAAGTTATGTGCTTTCCTTTCCTCTCTATGATGTAGTAATTCAGTAAAACTTTTATCCATTAGAGTGAGAAAGTGGAAATGAATGAAAATGCTTTGTTAAATTAAGAGTTGAATTCTGTAGTCTTCACCACCATGAAAACAGCATATTTTCAATCCCATTGTGGACCTGTATACTATTGTGTAATCAAGTAATTTGGTATAGTGGTCTTTTGGGGTCAAAATTTAGTTTCAGAAAATCCCAGTTGGTAAAGTGCCAGATAGATAACACATACAGGTCACTTTGGATTAGCAAGCAAAGATCGGTTTTACAAAAGCTACAACTATGCTATTTCATTCTGAGGAAACTGTCTGCCTAAAATAATCTTCATAAAAGTAAATTTAGATTTTAAAAACAAGGCAGTTTTATTTTTTAAAAATGTTTCTTAAATACTCATTCTCTGTAGTAGTCTGACCAAGAAGTACAGATATTTTGGTTATTGATATTAATTTTCCACTTGTTCTATCCACTATAATTTTTATGCTGTCACTAAAGTGCCTGCCCAGCACTGTATGTTAAAAGACAGTCTCCTAACCACTAACTAAAGGGACTGGTAACATCTTAGTTACCAGTAATGTGGCTATTACTGAGACTTATTTTGTTTCATTGCAAGTTTGTTTTTCTTAGATTCTAGTTGCTTTTTATTCTTCTGTTTTGTTCCATTTCTTTTACTTTATTTCCACCAATATTTTGGGGTAAACAGTTAAGTGATTTATTTCTTAGGTTATTTTAATAATGTATGTAATCTGGGCACAGAATTTAAAGCAAAATTGTATCAAAACAGAAAAAACTAGTATTTTGAAAGTATAAATTATTGAGAATATTCTAATTCTACTGGCAGTATTCTTACCTTCTGATTTGTTAATTGGCCCATATTCATTTCTTATTAGATGTTTAAACAGCATTCATTTTTGTTTATTGATACCTACTCTGTTGGAAATGATAAACTGTGATAGCATTTTGCTAAATTGTCAGTCACTTAACTTGTAGAGCAGAATATTAGTTTGGGATTTTGTGTTTCATTTAAGTTGAAAAGTAATGTCAGAAATGTTAAGCATGTCCTTTTTAAAAAAAAATATAAATTTCTAATTGTCTTAATACCAGGGTAATTCAAATGAATTAGAAGTATTTAACTGCATCTTGAATTATAAAGTTGAGGTATATAGCAGGAACTCAACTTAATGTAAAATAAATGAGCAGTTACCTGGCGGATTTTTTTTTAAAACAACTGGTTTAATACATAATTCCATAACAAACTTAGCTTCACATTATCATTTACTTTATGTGTCCCAAAAGTGATCCAATAAGAAATGATAGGTCTTATCTGAGAATTATTTTTAAAAGTTTTCATTTTCTTTTTATTAGAAAAAGTAAGTATAGGGTTTTCAAATGCTGGACTTTTTTGTCTTACCCATTCATGGCAGCTAAAAGAAAAAAAAATCACTCAAAATATTCAGGTTTACATGTTTAGCTCCCTCTCTCATAGGGAGTTGTCATACCTCACAGTTCAAAGTGTATTCTATAGATCAGTAACATTATACTGACATGTAATTGCAATTTACTATGCAGCAAAAATGATTCAAGAAGAAAAATAACCTACAGTGTCTATTTACCTTTGTATAGGCAATTGCTTAATTTACTCTGCTTTTAACAAATATTTGTATTTTTATAAAATGTTTATGTGTGTATAGGAACATCACAGCACAAAATGCTGCTAGCCTTTGGCACAAAGTATTAAAATTATTTTGTGAAGATTGGTGGTTGTATTAAACTGTTGTGCCATTATACCTCAAGAAAGATTGAAAGTTCATTTGTACCGCTTATGCCTCAAAACATCTTTACTGAGATTGTTAACTTCTGGGTTAAAGTTGTCCAGTATTACACAAATGGGTTGGGGAACATGAATGGACATTGGATACTAAGAACTATTTAAGAATATCCCCCAAAGCACTGGGCAGATATGATTAATAGTACATATAAATGAATGAAAAGTACCACCTGAAGTATATTTTAAAGGCTTAGTTAAGTTTGGGATTAGAAGTGTTGGAATAAGACAGACACAAAATGACCTTATTTTTACAGGCAATTAAAAAAGAAATTCTTACTCTTTCATTGTCTATCTCTTGTACTTTATTGGACCTATCAGAGCCGCCATCACAGCTATTTTTAGAAGCCACTAAAGGGCCAAATATTGTGACAGTAAGGCAGGGAAAAGAGCAATAAGAATTAGTAAATAGGTGATGGGAAAGGCAGTATCTAAAAGGCAATATTCATCACCAAAGGGAAGACACAGGTGTAGAAAAGTAGAATTATAAGGGAGCTCAGGTGACCTAGTGGCAAGGAGCTGCACTGCAATCCCAGAGGTGCGTGGTTTGAATCCCCCAGATGGTCTGCTGGAGGAGGGGCGATCTCCTCCTGTACCAGTCAGACCCAACTTGACGGTACACACATGAAAAATATTTTTTTTTAAAAAGGTAGAATTACAAGCAGTGCATTCCAATATGGCTACTGGAATTATTTTTATAAAACATGTATGAATAGTTGAATAAAAAGTTCACTTTGAAAATTATCACAAAGGCAAAATACTGCTATGTTCATAAAATACATCCAAAGTTCAGAATTGTTAAAAAACCCCCACATACAACTGTCAAAGTTGCGAGAGAGTCAGTCTAAAGACTAAAGTGCACCTGATCTAAGTTATGGGGTTTTTAGTTGTTTCACATATATGGCAAAGTTACAATGAAAAGGAAAATGGATGAATCAATGCTTTTGGATTTTGGTGTTGGTGAGAGCATCGAGGTACCATGGACTGTGGAAAGAACAAACATCTGGCTTGGAAGAAGTGCAAACAGTGTGCTCCTTCCAAGGCAGGAATGAGGAGGCAGTCTCATACTCTGGGCATGTTGTCAGAAGGGGCCAGTCCCTGGAAAAGGATATCGTATTTGGGAAGGTGGAGGGTCAGAGGAGGACCATATTCAAGATGAATTAATAGTGGATTGAGATAGTAAAGTTGGCACCAAATTGGCCAAGGTTTAGCTCTGTTGCTATTTGTCACTAGGAGTTGACTCCATGGCACCTAACAACAGCAACAAAAATGTGTCTTCAGTATATCTTTTCAGAAGCAAACAATGCTCCAACATGTATGTGAATATCATTCATATAAACTAAATGTTCTATGTAGTTTTTTCATTCTCATGTTCACACAATATGGCTTAGAAATCAAACTCTGACTAAGCTAATTTTAAGCTGCCATTTTCCTCAATAATACAGTTTTTGTGTTCTGTCCTTATAAAGGGCATTTAAGATAAAACCAGCACACCATTTAAAATAATTCCTTGAAATACCAATCCTATAAGACAGTCTTCAGTGGTAAAAAACCTAACAGAAGATTCAATTTTTGCCTTATTTTTTAATAAGAATTTTTAATTACTAGTATGTACCTAATAAAGTCAAGGTTGCTAGATTCCTAAGATGACAAAAGTAAATAAAAAATAATTTGTGAAGATCATTCAGCAGTAATTGTGCCCTCAATTGTTAAAGATTTTTGTGTAAAAGTTGTAATTCTGACTCTGGGAGCATTTGAAAGTCAGTATGAGTCAAACGGATAAGGAATTTCACTTTTTAACTAAAATCTAACCATGACTTGACCTAATAGAAACTTATAAAAGACTCAAGAAAACCACAGACTACAGTAAGATTCTAACACAATCATATGAACAGGTTTAATGTAACATGGAATGCAAAAGATAAGATCTCATTTCAACTTAAATAATTAAAATCAATCAGGACAGTGACCAGAATAATACCATTATAATCATATTAAATAGAAAGGCTTCTAGCATTTGAGGAGTATGAAAAACAGTATATTTTTAAATGTTCATTTGATTTTGTAATACTCCATTTTTCATAAAAATGTTACTTTAGAAGCTTCAAGTGCCACACATGAAAAGTACAAACAGCAGAATCTGCTAAATTCTGTTGCTATTTACTGTTAAATAGTACCTTATTAACCATTACATACTCTTCGTTGCCCTTCACAAATGAGAACTTCACAGATAAGACAGATGGTATATTAGGATCATATATAAATATATATAAATATTTAGCTATACATTCCAATTGTTTTACATAGTTAATAATTTTCATTGGGACTCCTTCAACTTGACTAGAACAGACTGTTCACAACAATTAAGTTTAAGGGGAGCTCTGGTGGCCTAGTGGCAAGGAGCTGCAACTACAATCCCAGAGGCTCACAGTTTGAATCCACCAGATGCTCTGCCAGGGAAGGAGGGACAATCTCCTGTACCAGTCAGATCTGATTTGACGGTACACTCACACACAAAAATAATAAAATAAAAAAATAAAATAAAAAAAAAAGAAAACAACAATTAAGTTTAAAAATGTTGAAATGCACTGTATCTAGTTTGAATATCTAACGTACTCAGTATTACATAATTTTTTAAATGATAGACCCTTAAGTAGTAGTATGTTTCTTTGTGCAGTATAGATAGCAGATATTAAAATTCTTACTACCTATATTTTTTGACTACTAAGAAATGAAGCCAAGCTTTAGAAAAATACAATGCAAGAAAAAATTCAAGTTAAAAATATATTCCTTTGGTTAAAAATCATACCCTTTTTAATATTCATTTGTAATGTAAACTCACAGCATGTCCCCACCAACCAAAAGTAATTTTTTTTAAATGTCAGTTGTAAATTACAATGTTTTCTCAGTTCAGTATTTATAGAGGTCACTGAGTTGCAGCAACAAAATCATTTAACTTCAGGAAGAGTAGACAGCCTTCTTGCACAAGCTCCTTGATAGTTGTGTCTTTTACTTTCGAAACCTCCGACACATGTAGTTTTCATCTGATACAGTATATCCAAACTTTTTATAGAAACCAACATTTTGTGGTAGACATTCAAGAGTAATCTTGTAACAGTTCAGTTTCTTGCTTAGCAAAGTAAGAGTTGATAATAACCTGAAATTTAAAAGTGGGAGTGGGGTAAGCAGAAATAAGTATAGTATTTATTAATAAGGAGTTTGAAAAACTTCTACCAATGAACATTATAAAAAGTAAGATCAGGTTTATATTTGAATACAGGAAAAATCTTAACGTTAAGTGGATAAGCATTAACAATTTTTGCTTCAAAATAAAATTTTTACTTAAAATAGTTTCTAACCCATTAAAATAAGGTAAATATTAAACTCATCCTTAAATTTTATTTAAAAATGAATTTTTATCATTTTAACAATAACAATTGCCAGACTTTTCAGAAACATGACAAATTACATTGTAAACTTATTTTCTTCTCTAGACATAACTAAAAGGTCTGCTCTCTCGTATGGAATAGGTATAGAATAGCTTTCTTTGTTAACATTTAAAATTTCGTATTTGTGACTTTGTATCAGAGTAACAAAGAAATGTTTCTAACATGAAGTTAAACATGTTTCTTACAAATCCTTCAAGAATCTAAATCCAAGTATAAATGTGGTTCTCGTTATCTCAAAATCTACAAAATTTGCTTAAAGCATAACAAGTATCACACCATTTTTAAAAATATTCTGAAGTTACAGCTTTTTAAAAGATAACTAATATTTGAGTTTTGGTGGCCTAGTAGATAAGAAATTGTGCTGTTAATCTCCGAGGCACACGGTTCAAATCCAGCAGCTGCTCTGCAAGAGAAGGATGGACAACCTCCTGTGTGACTTATTGCCTCTGAAAAACTGTTGCATGGTCAGCTATGAGTTGGTTCCAACTTGACGGCACACAACAACAAAACTAATATTAAATGGACTAGGATATTAGAAACTGGTATTACAGCACCTGGCACATAGCAGATGATATTATCAAGTGAATTCTTTAAAACCTAAGTTACCTTATTTCTGTCTACTTACAGTTTGCCAAGTTGTTTCCCTCTGCATTCATCACTTACGACAACATCTTCTACTCTTCCTCTCTGAAAATATTGATAATGTTTAAAGAACTAAACATTTAGCAAATATAGTTTATTAAGTTCAATTAAAGAAATCTCATCAAAATTCTAAAGCTCTGATATTTCATTCTTAGGCTTTCTTTACTCATATTTCATGTGAGTAATAAAATCACTTAGAAGTGTCACAAAATATAGTATTTTGAATCCTTAAGCTGATAGAAATTTATGCTCAAGTATATTCAAGCTAATATAATTTTTAAAAAAATTAGCTGCAAAGATCTAGCATTTGAAGTTATAAATATTCCTATTAAATAAATTGAATAACAGTGACTTGATACTTCTAGGACTACACCATATTTATGAAACCGTGGTAGCAAAGAACATAACCCTGATTTTACAATGAAAAGCAATGAGAAAACGAGATTTATCTAGTGGTATTTCAGAATCAGTTTTGCTAGAAAACACTTGTCCATTTTACATAGTTATTAATGTGAAAAATATATATATACACACACCTTAGCACATGAGTGAATGAACTTATGCTCTATTATCAGAGTTGCTGTAGCAACAATTCGTCCAAGAGTCACATCTTCCACAACTGTAACATAATAATCTCCAGATTTCTTCATGTGTTCGAAAGATTCTGTGGGAATTGGAAAACAAAATGTCATCTAATAGACATTTAGTGGACTTAATTGCTTCATATTTAAACTTAAGCCTCCAAAGTAATTTTTGCCGTTTCTAATGATAAATACTACATTATTAAAAATGACCAAGTAGATGGCGCAGGAGAGGAAGACCCCGGATGAGATGGATTGACACAGTAACTGGGGCAATCAGGGTAGGTGTGTCAGAGTCAGTGAGACTAGCTCAGGACACAACAGGCTTCAGAGCTGTTGTTCACAGGGTCACTATGAGTCATAGGCAACTCAGCAGCACATAAGTTAAACGACTGGAATATAGTCCATAAATGTAAAAAAACCCAAACACCAAACTCACCCCCACCCCAGTAAGCTATTAGGAAAAGATTTTAGATGAGCAGCTCATAAATTGTAAATGTTGCCACTTCAATGACTAAAGGATTAAAACTTTAATATATTCATTCTTGTTGCTGTGTACTGTCGAGTCCAGACTAACTAATAACTGACCCTCCAATGGGTTCTTAGAGCTAGAACGAGGTTGCCTATTTTTCTATGTGGAGCTCCTGGCACATTTAAACTCTGCCTGTAAGTTGGCAGCACAACTCAACACTAAGCAGACAGGGCTGAACTAACTCACAGATATATGCTAACCTAAAAATTCAATAGAAATCAACAAAATTTTAGGAAATATTCTCTATTTTTGATTGATGATGACATCTCTACAAATAACAGAATGAAAAGCAAAAAACTCAAAAATCTTGAGAGGTACTAACTGGGCTCTATCATCTAGTAAACTGTATAGAAGTAGGTATTTTGCAAAACAAGATCATAAGCAGAAAAACTTTATCACCTCACCCCAGTCAGAATAGCAAAATTTAACAGAACAGCAAGCAACAAATGCTGGCGAGGTTGTGGAGAAACTGGAACCCTTATTCACTGTTGGTGGGAG